ATTGCATAGAGCGTAACCAAACAACATTATACCTACTTACCTTTGATAATAAGTTATTATTAATAACACGTATGTAAGTACTTGTCCGTGTGATTAACCTGATTTTATCTAAATATTAATCGTAAAATAAACTGTATTATCTTTTGTGGTTTAATTTATAGGCCAATCCAAAAAAATATTCCTGGATCCGCGCCTGGCATATATACGATATATCTCGTATATAAAAGTGATAAATTTAACTAAAAAAAAAATTGTCATCATCGGTATCGTATTAAAGAAAAAACACGTTCTATGCTCCCGTTATATCTTTTTCTGGTCGAGTCGTGTGGTGGGTAGTTATCTAACGTTAGATGAGGTTCGATGTACGACAATGGCCGGCGAAGGCTAGACGGTTGTATGTGGCCACCTAAATTGTCCCCTCTATGACTTTGTTTCATGCCGCAGTCTTGATACAAAATCGAAATTTATTGAAATTCAATATTTTTAATAGCTATTTAATTAATTAAATTTTTGATCTTTTCTCATTACTTGGCTCATCTTTACACTAAGTATTTGTATTTAAGGAAAAAACTATGCAAATCGGTCTAATAGAACTTCAGATATAATTGCCATAAAAATCGCATCTCGTTTTAATAATAAAATAGGTATCAAGTGAGTGTTATGCGAAAAAGGTGACGCTGCCTGAACGGAAAAATCTGAACGCCATATAAGATATTTTCACATCAAAAATTTTTTGTAAAAATAATATAACAAGACAAGCTGAAAGTATGAAATTTTGAATGAACAATCGGTTTTTTAGTACTGTATGTTATAATAAAACTAAGTCGACTACTATTTTTCAAATACATTTTTTATCCCAACACATAAACAAATTAATAAATTAGTTTCTAGTAATAGTATTTCAAAACGAAATCATTAATCTTGATGGAAAATAAATACGATTCGTACACGCTATTATTAATCATATTAAAGATACGGTATACGGTATCAGGGGAAAATTTTTTCATATTTCTCATTTCGTTCAGAATCAATTACGTTTTGTAACATGTATAATACTGAAAATACAATACGGTAATTTAGAAAAAATAGCACATAAATAAAATTATTATTCTTCCTAATTGTAACCTATAAGAAGATCATTATTAACAAAAATAAAACTCGATAAAAAATAACAAGACACAAGACATTTGATGGTTTTATAAACAAAGCTCGGAACTTTATGCGTTAAAAAACAATGAAACATATGCATACGATTGCACTAAAAATGCGCAAATATGCAATATAATATTCGATAATTTTCTTATAAAATATACCGGTATTTATAAGCATAAGTATTAAAGAAAAGTTTATTTTTTAACTAATAGTTTTTTATGTATTTTTTTATTTTGTAGATCTTAAAGCTAAATCCTGAATCTATTCCCAGGGTCCTAAATTTTAAAAAAAGTACAACTTATCAAATACAGCGGTTATTAAATCATATTATTATATTTATCTAAATCACACTGAATGATGAGATTTTTAATGAGTTTAAATTATCATATATTGTGGCTCGGAAAATGTTTGTAAATAAAAAATGATCTTTCGATATCTACCTATGTGATTGTAGAAAATAAGGTAATTTGTTGTCAGGTCTTCGAAAAACCCATCTTTGGTGGGGGTTAATTCACTAAGTATCGAAAAGATTAATTTTGATGTTTTGAAACCTATATTCTTTAATAAAATATTTTCAATTTTTTTTATTTTTTTATTTCACGGTGTGGTTCACGCAATGGTTTGCGGTGGCATATTATTTTTAAATCATTGAATAAACAATTTTCAATCTTCAAACATTTTTTTTTTTTTTTAGTTAATTTATAAAATAAATTGTAAACATAATATGCTATAATATGATTAAAATTTTTTGATATACAAAATAGCTTAATTTTAGTAAAATATGCAAAAATATGGAACATACATTTTTGTATTTCAATTGTATGGATTATGAAACTAGTTTGTATCGAATAAAATTTTGAATATACAGCTTTCTAAAAAATATGCAAACGCAAGAAATTCCGATCCATGTTTATAAATAATACAAACCTCTATTATTTGTATAACCAATAACATCAATCTAGCAAAGCTGAGACATGTACATCTAAAACAGTACCTAAAGTTAAAAATCTTCGGCACCGGAAAATCTTTTTTTATGCACCATTTAACTCGACAGTTTTTCTTTGAACTCTTCAGCGGTTCAAATGTGTTTTTAAAGTATAAATTTGTGGTTTTTTCATTCGGCAAAATAGAACCATTATTCGTGCAAATGTGTTTACGTAATATACTTTTGCATGAATATATATTTTTTATTTTATTTTTTAATGTTCAACTCAATGTGATAAAAGGAAAGCGTAACACGGGCGTCAAATGTACTTAAATTTATTGGAATAATCTATAATGGTATAATTATAATCATTGACAAAGCACGTAGTATTTTGCATGGCACAGTCGAAATGTTATTGGAATATATGTAATCCACAAGCTATTGCACCTTTTTCAGTAATTATTTTTTAACAGTAATTTGTTTGGTATTAATACCAACGCACGTGTAGGTTGAAACTTGCGTGTTGTTAATTCATAAATAATTGACTTAGTTTTACAATCTAAAAAATAACACGGTAATTAACTGCGTGAAATTCGGTTTATACACCGGTTGGACCACCATACTATCTGTATATTATGCACACGGCTTTTGAAGCCATTATAACAGTGTATAGTACTATAGTACAACACATTAGTGTAAAATATTCATATATATGGTGTATTATTTGAACATCATAAAAAAAAACGAGTCATTATTAAACAAAAAATAAAAATAAAATTTAAAAACTCAAATATTATTTTGTGGAAACTATATAATAATTAATTTTTTCTTGTGCAGAAATGAAACAAAATGTACGCGTACATTAGTTGCTTTTTAATTAGCAATAACGTCTGTTGGAAATCTGGAGAAATTATCTTTCAAACTTCCTTTTAGTTAAAAAAGAACATTATCAAAAACTATCAACAAATTACAAAAAAAAAAAAGGAGAAAAAAATGAACTACATGGTCACTTATATAAAATATAGTAAAAGTGCATCCAAGCTTCGTACAAATTCTTTTTTTATTAGAATGCGATGATTTATCTTTACTTCCAGATTACCGAATAAAACTGTAATTTATAGTATCTCATTTTAAACCTGTAGCTGACTGCCTTTTTTTTATTTTCCATCATACAGATTTCAAGGTGATTCCATTCTAGGTTACTTTTAAAGGTTACCTATACACTTATATAGTAGGAAATGAAAAAAATTCAACAATCGTGGTTCTATAAAATAAATTGCACGATATAATATGTTTACTGGACCCGTTGTCTAATAATATTATTATTATCAGTAATACATGAAAAATGATTGATTTACATCGGTTTTGTAGGTAATTGTAAGATAATTAACTTTAATTAAAAAATACCATAGCTTTGTGAGATTTTCAAAGTGCACAATCATTTCCTATTTAAATATAATATTATATACATGTATTTTATACAATGATGAATCGTTCGGTATTACCTAAATTACTATTTTATTTAGGAGACTGAAAATATCAAAATTATTTGAGCTATGTGTTAAATAAAAAATAAAAAAAGTGTATTTAAATCAAAATGATTGCGTTAATAAAATTGTTTTACGGAAAGTTGAACATTTGAGTTTATGAAAAAGCAGACTCAAACGTAGTTTTATATCCGTGCACAAGATCACTTTGTATATTTTCTCGAATGACTTTATCCCGCAAGAAACAGTTTCACGTGAATCGTTTAGTTTCATTACGATGGAGTAATCTACTTCAGTAAATCTAACGCGAATCAGCGTAATCATCAGCCTTTTGTCTTCAAGTTCTATATCTTTTTACCATCTCTCAATTATGTGTTTCTTTAATATCGTACTTTCTTCGGAATTTATCGATCCAAACACATTATCGTCTGCATTTATTTCCTTTCCTAGACGGTTTTGTCTTCTGAACTGAATGTTAGTTAATACCCCTAATTTTCTAACCTGATATGGACCATTCGATCGAAGTACATTTGTGTTCGATGGAGATGGTCTCCTACAGAGTGTTCGCTAAACTGAAATTACTAGGAACAAATCAAAACTTATTATTTAATGAAAAAAGGGAAAACACGAAACTATGGTTTTCGATATATATTTGTACAGAGTTATGCAACTTAAGTTATGTAAGATCACATACTATTAGATACTTATTATTTATCCTTATCATATTATATACTAAATATCTGATAACCATTTGGCATTACTTAAAAATATTTGTAAATAAGTAAATAAATAAATAATTTTCTTCGTACAAATTATATTACTGTCGTTTTATACATACATTTTATCATCTATTTAAGATATATTTTAAAAATAAAGCGAAACCAATTTAATCGACAGTTCCAACACTTGGAGTGAAAAATAATTATTGCTACATTTTTTCGAAAAATAACTACAGCACAATTTGTTTTTTCCGTGGGAATTCATTTTTGATTAACTTTGTCACGGTTTAAATCCTCTCATTTATTCTTTATCGAATGACCCTCATTCTAAGTACACCGGAATATTAAAAACCAAATTTCATTTCGAAAGAATTTATGTGTACTTCCTAATAATGTATAATTTGTTTTTTCTTAATTTTATACAATATTAAGAATATTAAATTCTAAATTCTTGTCACCGCTGTAAAAATACAATAATTTCTAAAAAGATTAAGACAAATTCTAACGAATTAGTAAGAAAATAAAATATTTTACTATCTTTAATAAGACGTAGTACAATATATACATATTATATAACACACACCGCAGATATATTAAAATACGATTTTAAATACGTATTATAGAAACAATATAATAAAGTTGCAAAAAACTATCGCGTTTTAAGGTAAAAGTAATAACTAATAGTAATCGATCCACTTTCTATTTTTGTTTACGCAGGACACCGCCGCTATTGCCAGCAAAAAGATACACAATGACACGCAGACCGGCCGAGGCTCGGAGCGGGTCGAACAACCACCACCGTCCAGCGTGATGACGCGCGCGTTCGCGACGATGCCGATCGGACGTACCGCACTGGCGGTGATGATTTTCGCTGCGGCCGTGGTGGCTGCGACACTGGCCGCAACCGCGGACTGCCCGGTGGGATGCACGTGCAAATGGAAGGGCGGCAAGCAGACGGTGGAGTGCGTGAACAAGAGTCTAACGGCCATACCGGTAGGTATAGATGCGGGCACGCAGGTGCTGGACATGTCGGGCAACACGCTGGACGAGCTAACGCGCGGGCGCTTCCTGTTGGCCGGGCTGTCCAACCTGCAGAAGATCTTCATGGCCCGGTGCCGGATCGCGTACGTGGACGATGCGGCGTTCCAAGGGCTGTCCAACCTGGTCGAGCTGGACCTATCGGACAACGGTATCGTGGAGGTGCCGACCAAGTCGTTCGACGACTACCCGCAGCTGATGAAACTGGTGCTCAGCGGCAACGCGGTGACGGCCGTGCGGACGGGCGCGTTCAAGCGGCTCGCATATCTGACCGTCCTCGACCTGAGCCGGTGCCGGCTGTCCACGGTCGAGGTGGGCGCGTTCGACGGGCTTGACCACCTGGAATGGCTACGGCTCGACCACAATCAGCTGGCGCGCATCGAGGCTAACGGCGGCTCGGTGCTGCCGTTGCGATTGCACGGCATCGAGATGCACCACAACCCGTGGACGTGCGACTGCCGGCTGCGTGACGTGCACCAGTGGCTGAACAACAATACCGCGCCGCACACGGTGGAGCCCACGTGCCACGGCCCGGACCGGTTACGCGGCGCCGCAGTCCGCAAACTGGCCGCGGAGGAGCTGGCGTGTGCGCCCGAGGCGGCCGCCGCGTCCGCCCGGTACGTGGAGACGGACGCGGGCAAGAACGTGACGCTCGCGTGCCGGGTCACACCCGTCGGTGAGGCGCGAGTCTCGTGGTGGTTCGAAGGCCGGCCCGTGGCCAATGGCACCGCGACCGGCGGCGTCGAGCTGTCCATCGAGGACGTAGGCCCGGCGGACAACGGCACGTATGCATGCGTGGCCGAAAACCGCGCTGGTCGGGCCGTGTGCAACTTTACCGTGCGCGTCATCCAGGAACCATCCGAGATGGCGGCAGGCTCGTACCCACCACACAAACCCGCTCCCGCCGTTGTGGCCATCGTCCTGGCCGCCGGATCGGTGTGTTTCGTAGCCGTGGCCGTCATGTTTGCGGTCGGTTGCCGGCTGATGGTAGCCAAGCGACGTCACCGTCGGACCGAAAGCGGCCGGGGTAGCAAGTCGGTTGGCGCGGCTGAAGACGACTCCGCCGCCGGTGGTGGTGGTGGTGGTGGACAAGCCGCCAAGCAATCATCGGATATCCGGCAGTCGGACTCGGTGAACCTAACCGTGTCGTCCACAGTCGACGGCAAACTGTCTTCGACCGAGGACTTGAGCGTGTATGGCGAGTACGAAGCGGCCGCGGCAGCCAGTGCGGGAGGAGGTGCGATAGCTGCGTACGAAGTCCACGAGGTTCTGCACATGGGTAGTGGTGGTGGCGGCGGTGTTGGTGAGGGCTACGACACGTATCATGGCCACACTACCGCGACCACCCTAGAAGCCAACCCGGACCTGATCAGTGACGCGTCCACAGTGGTCCGAGACAACGTGGGCGATTACCGGGACGCAGCCGGTGGCGGTGACGTGTACAAGATCGTCGTGGCCGCCCAGCCGTCCGGTGTCGGTCGCGAGTTTTGGTCCGGAGGTGCAGCCGCGATCGTATACCCATCTGCCGGCCACGGGTCGCACGAGCTGCAGCTGTCCCCGGGAAAGCTGGCAGCCGGCGAACCGTACCCGCCCGATTATGGACTGCCCAAACTGCAGCCGGTGGCCGTGTCCTCGTACCCGGTACCGCCACAGTCGTTTTACCGTACGCTGCCGCACCGGCGGAACGCGGCCAAACCGCAAGGCCGGTCGTGCCAGGAGGCCGAGTTCGTCATGTCGCAGCAGCAGCACCACCATCATCACCATCACCACCACCATCACCAACAGCAACAGCAACAGCAGCAGCACCACCAACACCACCAGAACGGCATGCGGTACGAGCCGCAAAACGTGCGGTACAACCAACAGGGGTACCCGTACCCGGCGGCCGCGGCGTTCTACGAGCCGCCGTCGCTGTCAAACGCGTCCGCGCAAACATTGGACGAGGAAACGATGATCATGATGATGATGATGCCACCGCCACCGCCGCCAGCGCAAATGCCGCAGATACAGGCGCAGCCGCCAACTGGTGCCGCGGCGCTACCAGCAGTCAGGAAACAGCAAATGGAACAGCAGCACAAGGCCGTCACCTCAGTGCAAAAGCAGCCGGTCAACTCGGAGAGCCCGGACGAAGGTTACGTGGGTGAAGGGCCCGACTCGTAAGCCCACTCGGTGACTACTCACTCTCGATACGCTGTCACCTTGCGTCCGTAAACCTCAACGTTAAATGTTTGGAACGCGAAACCGCACCGTAGTCTGTTGTAAGAATCACAAGTACGAATCATGCACGAATCAAGTTTTTCCCCGTCGCCACACCTCGACCCGAAAGTTTGCATTGTACGACCGCCGAACGTGGTTCACTACCGACGAGTCGAACTTGACCTGGTACGGATCCGGACGGAGGATGAGGATGTTGTTGACGAAAAACTAACGTCGAAAACACGTTCGACGCGACTTTCGTCTTTGTAAGAGTGGTTTTCAAACGCTACCGCACGTCAGGTCACGCTGCGATCATTATGATTCAGTAATCGAACCACGTTTAGTGCCCGTGATGTGTCACTGGCCGAAAAAGTTAAACGACGGCGTTAAATTAGAAAAGTCTCGAAAACGCTAGGGCGTTTCCCGTGAAAATCCATCGCGAACTTCCATGAGTTATCATGTACGACGTTTAAGTGTGTAAAGTTACGCCGTCGACGCCGGCACGTCGGACAAATATATATATTAACTCTGTTCCGATTAAAGTTAATTTTCCGTCTTCACTGAAAAACCAAATAATATTCTCCTCTTCCTTCGCCTCATCAATTCGTTGTGTTTTACTACAATTCGCTAAATATATGGTTTTTATCAAATCTTGTTCATATTTTTTTTATTTTTTTTTAAATGTATTTATACAATGAGTTCATAACACACAAACTCATATAATCTTCATGTGAAAACTATTTCAATTGTTAGGATAGCTACTATTGGTTAAAATTGTTGAATAGAACCTAATGGTTTTCATTTGTTGCGACGTTTTTCAGTTGTAACGACTACGGAGTAGTTTTCTAACAATAATACTGTAGAGATAATCTACGAATTTCACAGTTGGCAGTTTTTTTTTTTAAAAAAAAAACTTTTCTTTTACCAAACACATTGAGATTTTAAATTCATAGGTTTATTTTCAGATTAAATTTAACTCAACTAATATACGGTGGTATTCAATGGAGTTTCTTTATTTTTTACATATATATATATATATATATATATATTAAATTTATCTGTTCGTGGCGTATTTTTTTTCTCTCACATCGTAGAGCACATCGTAGTTATGATATTGTGAGATCAAAATGATAAAATATATAATACGACAATCCATGACTATTATTAACGTGCATTAAATTAAGAAAAATTGAAGCGTTACAATTATAGGACGTTATTGTATTTGAGGCTCAAACATAAAACCAGAATACTTTCCATCCCATTGTTAAAAATGTATATCTTTACTACCTTTTCCTGCTGTTCACCATAATCATTTTCTCGGTGTTTTTGGTTTCCGATAAATATTTGACGTATCGACTGGCTTTTAAAATATAACCATCATATAATATTATTTTAGTATAATGTTAGAAAAAAATGTTTAAAAAATACCAATTTGAATTCATATTGGTTCATCCGTCTTGAATGTATATTGAGATTATGTTATTTTATGTACTCGTAGTTTATTCGTACTTGTAAATATGAATATAATAATTTTAATACATACTACGTTTAACTCAATAAAATATTATGATATAACTTGTCATGAAAGTTTCTCTGAACGGTTAAAAAAGGTTGTAGAAAAAAAAGCAAAATAGTTTGAAAAAATGATAATAATAATAAATCCGCTGTGAAAATTTACGTCCCCAAATATGTAGAGGATTTCTTTTAATGTTTTGGGACACGTACAAGACTAACCTAACCCAAACTTTTTTCTTTTTAGCTTTTTTTTAAATAAAAAAAAAACTGAAGATTTATAATCATTTTTCCGAACCATTAGGCCCCGACATAGCTGAAGGATAGATGTAACAATAAAACGCTTAAATGTCCGAAACTATTTCGAGTGGTATATAATAAAAAATGCCTAGTACATTCCACCATAAATGGTTGCTCTTGCGTTGTACATTTTACGGATGGGAATTTAATTTCACCAGTCCAAAACCATGTTGACTGTATATATAACCCTATATTTCGATTCAGTAGTATATTAGAAATAATATGGTGTACGTTTGTAAAATTCAGAAATGTAGAATAACCTTGTTCCCCCGTACAACATAATGTTTGGAGCGAATTGCAAACGTCTGTTTTCTGTCAAACAAAAAATTAAAAAATTGGAGTAACATAATATACTGATAAAAATCCAAATTTACGATTAAAAATAACAACATTATATATACAAACAATAAATAATAATAATAAAAATGTATATCAATAATCCTATAATGTTAATATATTATATTGTTAAGCTATAAGTATATCATTGTTGTATAATATTTACGTGTATGTTAATTATTGTAGAAAATAATATGTTGCCATGTTGATTCGATATGGCATGTTGTTAAACATTGTATTACTTATCTATATTATGTATTATATATAAATATATATAGGTTCCCGTTAGTTTCATCAATGAAATTTAAGATTAGTGTTTTGTACCAAAGAACCGAGATGATATATTACATGTATAAGTATGTATGTTATATTATATATTATCGCTGATTATGATATTCATGTTAAAATAAAAATAATTTATAGTCATTTAAAAAATGCGTTTTTGTTAGAACATAATGGTGGCCACTCCTTGAAACAATAATTAATCTATTCAAATCGCTTAATCCTATTGCTCGTTACTCTTAGTCGCATCTAGAACTTAAAAGGGTAAACGCAGTTAATATAACGTTGAAATGTGGTTAAAATGCTCATTATTAAATCAGTACTACGAAAATGTCGAATTAAATAACAGCGCGTGTTAACTGTTAAATAAATTAGAATAGAGAACTAAAAGCGTGATTGTCTCCGAACGCCGTGTACAAACGTTGTGTAATATGTACGTCGACGTTCGTGAAACATTACGGCCACACTTATATAAGAATTAATTTGAAAAGAAAAAAAAATAAATTAATAAGTAAACACAATTTAGTCACGAATAATTAAAGGTGTAAGAGTGTATTAAGCAACGACAATAAAGTGGATAAGTATTTAACGATACGCATATTGTTTTTAATTATTTGCGTGACGAAAAAACGGTTGGCATCTTAAATAAAAAACAAAAAAAGAAACATAATGCATCAGAAAAGGTAAGTCGACTTTTGCAAACTTAATTGATATTTTTTTAAATTATATTTCACGAGGGGTGCATGTACCACGTCTGGGATTGTTTCGTTTCATAACTTGAACACTACACTGCCTATATTTTATTACATTGTGTAATACAATATGCAATATGTATAAAAATAAAGCTGATTAAAATAATCTGTTCGTACAGTGACTTGCGGAGGAGATTTATTTTGTATGACGTGCTAAAAGTAAAAGTTGTGCTAAAGAGAGCTGTACAGATGTATTTTTACATCTACGAAGGCATTTCGAGTTTTGTCGAAATAGTTTTGAAACGTGTACACGAGTTTTTGGATTTGGATTTGAATGATTTTACATCTGGGAATAAAAAATATTTCAAAACTTCGAAGTGAGAATTATTTAAAACCCTAATGCTGCAGTGCGCGCTTACGGATGGATATAAAACCGTATGCAGTGTTGTGAGCGTTTACTGAGTTCAGCAATCCTTCCGTAATATTCTATGAATTATATTAACTTTATATTATAAGATAAAAACACGGCTGGTGCTTATTTATTTATTTTCCAGAAGTTAAATGATATGTTTTTTTTTAAAGTTTCTTTGGCATTTCTTATTATTAGGACTTGGATTTTAAATTACAATAACTAAAAAAAAGCATACAATTCTTTGAAAAAAGCAAAGCATATTTATTTTTATAAATGACAGAATAACAAAGAATATTCAACTTAAATTAAGTATGAAATTATTAAAAAAAAATTATTTTAAATTAAAAAATAATTTTACTAACATATATATAGTTAGATTTTCAACAAATAAACTGACTTTATTATCAGAAAAAATATTTTTATACATCTAAAACAGTTTCCAGCCTTTGTTTTTTAAAATAAAACGATTTAATTTACCCAACATTTTTAATAGTTAAAATGGTCTATGATATAAAAGTACTGGACGATAACATAACGATTAAACGAACGTTATAACCATTTAATTAACAAACCAATAAACGGAAACAAAACTAACATGATTACCAAATTCTTTATTCTGTGTTTGACATAGATTAAGAACTATATCTATTGTCTAACATATAAATGAGTATGATGAGTATTTTTAAATTAAATTTTTTTTATTATTATAACACAATAAACATATTAAAATTATATAGCAGGAATAACTACACAAAAACAATATAAAAATATTTATATAAAAGAAAGTGGAAAAAAGCAACAAAAAAAGAAATTGGTTTATTTAGAATCAGAATGACATAAAATAAATTGATGTATAAATATTAGATTTCTATCTTACATATAAAAAAGAAGCATATGCTTTAAAATCCGAGCCCTACTTATTATAGTACTTATTACATGTACAACGTAAAATGCTTCTGAATACTATATTATTTATGTCTTATCTATATACTTATCGTGATAATCTGATAATTTAACCATTCGAAACATCAAATATTTTATGACCTAAGGTAATTACGAAACCCTAGATCATTGGCACTCAAGTACGTGATAAAAACCTAGCAATGACAACGAGTGCGACATTATTATAATATTATGGGTATAGGTAATTTACAAAACGTTTTATATTTATGATGTAGTGTGTATACTGTCTAGGCGACGCGTCGGTATTATTTTATATTTTATACCGTGGTGTAACAGTACAAATAATATAAATAGTAATGTTTCGAGGATGAAAAAAGTGCGGCATGCATATAAGTAATGTAAAACGATTATCTCAGTGTTATCGTAAACATGCAATAAGTTGGGAGACTTTATCGTATTATTAATTAAATGAAATCACGTTACTGTCCTACAGAATCACGTGAAACATTATTCTTGACACGGTCGTAATTTATGCTTAAGCCGAAAGTTGCAAGCCGAAACCATTTAAAATCGTAATTATTTACCGAGGTATTTTAAAAATACTATATAAAACATACGAATTTTCGCAATAAAATACATACAGTCGAATGAGTTTTGAAATATTTGCTGGATGAGCTACGCGCGTATTATTTTTTTTTTTTTTTAACCAACTGTTCGATATTCGCATTGCCCTTAAAAATAAATTTAGAAACACGAATAACACAGTCGAAATCAAAAATCTATAGCAGTAATTAAACGTGCTCTATAATACCATCATATACGTATAATTTGTTTCATAAAACGTACTGTATCGTATGAATTATAAATCTATTTCATATTTAATATCAGAATACGTTTTGCGAACGATTAATCTACTTAATATAATATAATATTTTACTTTGACGACAATAGTCAGTTATTAGATAATACCTTGTAGTAGTTTAATTCAATTCTGTTTTACAATAAACTTAATTTATCGTTAATTTTTACTTTCAATTGAATAGTTTCGTATATAATCTTTTTTTCCCTTTTGTTAGGATATAAATAAAAGTGATTTCAATTCGTTTTATTCTACGTTTTACAAAACAACAAATATATAAATTATAAAATATAAACTACAGATAGCAGTGGTGTATTTTTTGGTGGGGGTGTTGGGGGTTACCCCAAAAAAAAAATATATATATATATATGTATAAAAAAAAAAAAATATTAATATAGCTAATAATTAAATTTTAATCGGATAATAATAATAACAATTGACTCACACACACGTGATATATAAATTATCTGATGTGGGGAAATTATCGGTCGATAAGAATATCAATATCTTATTCCGTGACTGTTACGTCTTGTCAGTTTTCAGTATGCACTACATACATCTAAACAGTGGCGTATATAGGTTTTCATTTCGGAGGGGGGCCGATTATGTATTTGATTTTTGGGTGGAAGGGAAAGAGGAAGCACACTATTACGAAAAAAATTACTTTGACACTATAAGACTTCTCGACTGTCTTTACACCATCAAAGAAATAAGAAACTCAATTTTTTTAATAATTTAATATTTTTTAAAAGTATAAAAACTACATTGTAATAAACAAATTAGAGTCACTAAAAATTCACTACATATTTTCTTAAAAGAATAAAAATATTTTATAAATATAAAATTTTAAATTATCGCATAAGCAATATTCTCAGTTTTGCAACAAATTTTCGGAAATCTCCAGCATTAAGACATATCCATGATAAAAATAACAATCTTTAACAATGGTGTTTTTCATTTCGAAGGGGACCCGGCCCCTCCTTCCCATAAATACGCCCCTGCATCTAAATGTATACATTTATGCGCAACATAAAGTAATATAAAATACGATTAATACGATTATACGTTTAATTTAGGTTGATTTCATTAATTTATTTTCATTTAATTGTTGAGTTTGTATTGAAAGAGTACTGAAATGGAACCAGTAAAAAAAAAAATTTCAAAAATTTCAGAAAAGACTTAATGTCCTTGCTATGCTATCTATTCATCGAGATTTAGACTTTCAAACTAATGAAGTTATTAATGATTCGGCAAATAAAAAACTAAAACTAGAATTTATAATATAATTTGTAATTTTGTTATAGTAGTTTGTC